ATTTGTTTGTGATACAGCCATTGCACTATGCCTGCTACGAAGGCCAGATTGAAACCATCAACTTGCTGCTTGGGAGCGGTGCCGACGTCTGCTCGGCAAATCTCGAAGGCGAGCTCCCGATTCACATGTGCGCCAAGCGCGGTCATCTTGCGGCGGTCAAGAAGATTGTCGAGCATGGTAAGGGTGTCTATTGCGATGATGCAGGCGGGAGGACAGCTGGATGCCTGGTCGGCGTTCCAAGTCGTGATTTCTCAATCCATTGTTTCTCAAATCACCACTTTTTGACTTGCCACATCACAGGAAGCCCCGTTTTGTGCACGGATAACAATGGCTGGACTCCGCGCGTGGCTGCTGAGAAGGTTGGACACACGGACGTGAGCAGCTTTTTGACCAACGAGGAGCGATGCGCAGACAGATAACCAAAAAAAATCTTCGGCTCTTCCTTCACCGTGTTTTGTTTTCCTTGTTTTGCCCGTGAGCCTTTACGAAAGGCAGTGTACTCTCCTTTTTATTGTCACGGCGGAGTTGGTCTGCCTATGAGTGTTGCTCTTATCGGTTCGGGAGCTCCGCACGCAGTTCTGCTTTCAGCTTTACAGCGCGCGGGCAGCCAGCACCCCGCTTGTTGCCATGCCTTTTCACATGGATTCTGCATCGGCAACCCCTTGCCTGGTTGCGTGTTGCCTTTAGTTTGCTAGTGTCTTGTTTGTTGATTGTTCTTTTCTTGTGTTTTTTTGTTTTTTGTGTTTGTTTTTTTTTCCCCCTGTACACAAAGTCTGTCGATTAAATCCCATTTAGCCTGCAACCCTCTCTATTGACCTCTTGTTTTAGAAGACATTCTATCGTGTGCAATGACGGATAAGGCAGTATTGCAAAATTCGTTTTTGCCACCGTACCAAAGTTTGCCAAGCAAACCAACGAAACCCTTTTTTGAGTCATCCACTACAGGCTCTAAAATGGACACAGCATGCGATATGGGCACCGCTCTACTTGTAAACAATTGCTTACTAACGTAATAAGTAAATGTGAAAGAATGATGTGACTCTGACCTTCCAGTGAGGTATAAAGAGCCTTCCAAAAAGGCGCCGACCGTACTGTCGGTTTCTGACACGCTCGTCGAGGCCTTTGAAACTTTTAAAAGCAAACAACTGATGTTCAATGATATTTTGCACAACCTTCAGTGAAATTGATCGAGTTTACAACCACTTTTTGTGCCATATCAGCACACAAACCACTATGCTTTGTGAACCGTCGCGTTGGAGCTTGTCCGGACAGTTGCGCCCCAGCATTGAGCCCATCTCCAAGCTGGAAAAGATGACTGTCTCGCACACTATTCTACGACAGCTATTCATCAGTATGGAAGTCACCAGACTACTGGAGATGCTTGGGTTTGTCGTGGGCGTTGAACAGCGCGTAAACCTCTTTTGTGCATGTTGCGTCAAGCGCGTATCAGCACGCGATGCCAAACCGAACCATGTGGGTGGCAGAACAATGTACAATGACAATGAGATAGGTAGAGCGAGAGATCGCGCGCAAAGTGAGTCAGAAAGCGAAAAGTGAGCCAGAAAGCGAAAGCTGGTGAGCGAGCGAAAATTGAACGACGGCCAGCAGCGCTGACAATGCGGTTCTCGATTTCTAATATGTTGCCCCACCCCTCCGCATTTTCCTTAGAGTACACTCCAGCCTTTGTTGGACGATTGCCTGGTGTGGAGTTGTGCATTTGACTCGATTTGGGATTTTACTTTTGTTTCAGTCTCCTTTTTTTGTTGACTTTAGTTTTTCTTTTCGACTTTTGTTTCTAAAATGCGATTCGGACTTCTTCTCCTCTCATCAAGGGCGCCGTCGTGCTAGATGCGATCGCGCATCGTCTCTGAACACCTCAAGTGGCAGCGCTGCCTCAAGTTGCTTGGTTTCGTCTCTGCCTTGTGCAGTCAACGTCGTGGATGGCATCGAGCAACGATCTTTTTTCTGCGATCTCCGCATGGCTTTGTTTGCCACTCGCCTGTGTTGCTCGCAGCCGCGCTTCCGCCGATGGCCCCGCCCCGCAAGCGAATGTCGTTTCCAACAACACTCTGGGCACCTGCCTTCCACCACACCGTGTGCACGGACGGATGGAGCAACGGCGTTGCGAGCTGGACTGATCGACCACGTTGCACAGCCGACCGCGTGGTGAGTTTTTTTTTTCGCGCTCTTTTTTTTTTTTTCTCCTCGCTCTCTTTCTGAAGTGTACCCAATGATGCATAATTCCGTTAACCATACGGATTTCCGTATTCACAATGTGACGGCTACTTATACCATCTTTCGGCTGACGGGCACTTCCTTTTCATCTTTTTCCACATTTTTTCTTTTTGTGATCATCTTGACCATCGTGTCTCTCACTTGCTTTGATCTTCTACTTGATAGGGTTTTCACACGATCGAGCACTTTGTATGCCGAGTCAGGAGCCATCCACAAGGTAAGTCGTGATTGGTGCCATATTCATTGGTGCTGAAACATTCAATAAACCAGTTCTGTCAAACAAAAGCTCGTCCATACAACTCCAACTGTTCATATTATCGCAGTGAATGTGCACAGTAGCCACGACTTGCAATTCCAAGTGCAATTGGCGTCTTTGAACTTCAAAACCTCAACATTAGACCAAAATCCACACAAACACACTTTCCAACAAGAATTACTGTTCTTCATCATCATCATCATCATCATCAACATTGCAAGCTTTGCAGTTGTATCTCGTTCTGTCACGGCCGGTTCTCTACTGATTGCTGGAAGCAAGTGGTCGGATAACAACAGGCTCAGGAACTTGATCAACGAACGGACAACGTTTACCGCTGCCAAGCTACCAGTATGCGGTCCACCAGCAAAACATTAAAGTTAGTTGAAGACCAAAGCAACAGCAAAACAAAAATCGACAGGAACAACAGGCAACAGCGATGCTTACCGGCTTCAACGAGGAGCGCCGCCGTTGTTTGTTCGCTGATGGCGCTGCAGGCTCATCGTTCGTCAGCTCTTCAGCCCACTTGATGTGTTGCTTTCTGGGCTCACTTGTCGCCACAGGAGCGGGCCTTGGCCTGACTCCAAGGCGTGGGTCCATGGTCTCGCCGTTGCGGTACAACGTGACCTTGACCTGGCTATTCCGGAGCGTGTTGTACTTTGTTCGCCGGAAGAGCTCCTGCTCTGTGAGGTCTGACAGGCTAGAGTCGACGTGCAGGCCGTTCGCGGGTCTCATCACCGACAAGGGACGGGCTGGGGCAAGGGCGGCAGTAGGCCCAAACGCGCTTGCAGGGCGGCGTCGCAACGCAATCGATGGCGCCGCGGAAGGGGTGGAATTTAGCGTTGTGTTCATTTCACTCGAGATCTTGTCGCCGAGACTAGCGTACGGTGGCGGCGGGCAGCCCATTTCATTACTTTGGGTATCGGCCTGCACTTCGGCGTCCACTTGCATGGGTGTGCAAAGTTTGAGTGCAACTCGAAGCGATCGCGTCGGTTTGCATGGATGCTCTGACCCGGATGTGGCTCGGCGGCAAGCGAGGTCGTCGAAGGTTCGGGGAAAGGATAGCAGGGACAGCGCAAGCGAGCCTCCAAACTTGGGCGGCTGCTTTCGGGGCAACCGCCAACGATGGTGCAATGTTGGGCTCAGCAGGCCTGCAAGCTGCTGCAGAAGATTGAGGGCGGGTCGCCACAGTTGGGGAGCTTGGGCCGGCGCGGGCCAGAGGCGCTGGTGAGAGCGGCACTCTCGCTGCCGCAGCGCTGCTTTTCATGGGTGTTACGACCACTCTGCTTGGGGTGGAGATACCGAACGCTCCTTTGGTCGAGGCCTGAACCATTGGCTTGTTGGAGGGCGTTGATCGCCCCTTGGTGGGTGTGGATGACAGCAACGACAGGGCACTCGTGGGATTGCGGTTTGCGGAGAACTTTGTCGGTGTCTGCGAGTTGGAGAATTTCTTGTACTGCTGCTGCTGCTGCTGCGAAGCATTTCCGAGCTCGTGCGCGACCGACGAGCGAGATGGTGTTGCTGCAATGTCCACTCCAAGGGTATCGGCAGCATTTAAAATGCGTGTAGGCGAGCGCGGCGCACTTGCGAGGGATTCCTTCGCCTCGGCATCACCAACCTTGGCGGGACTTGCAATTTGAGGTGCTGTGCAAATACCCGGGGCCGAGCTCTGGGATTCGCACAAGACCATTGGAGTCGCTACCTGTTCTGCACTCGACGGGGTCTCTGTCGCATCAAGGGTGGTGGTCGGTGGTGCCAACGGCAGAGTTTCCGGTTTTGACCCTCGCAGCGACCTTCGTCGCGCTGCGACTTTGGATGCTAGTTCGATTTCCTTCTGCGAAACAATGCCAAAGAACACCTCGTGCTCAGACTCGTCGACTGCGCAATCGTCGATGGACAGCTGGGCAAAGCTGGTCTCGGCCCAAGCAGTCAAGTCCTGCGCAGGTGGTGAGGATGCATTCAACAACCCACTGCCACTGTTGTTAGCACGAGCATCGCAAATGCCGATCGCATTGTCAGCGGCAGCGGGTGACTCGGGAAGAGGGACGGATTGTGGTGGTGAGGTTGAATCGGGCGAAACGGTTGAAACATTGGCAGCATCCGGCGATGTTGGTGGTACCGCCGCTGCAGCACTCGGATCGCCTTTTCGCGACGACCGCCTTGTCGTGCGAGATCCAGCTTGATTTGCTGGCATGGACGGTGACGAATCGGCAGGCGTCGCCAGTTGCTGAAGATTTGCAGCAGAGTGATCGCGTGGTGAGGTTTCAACGGTTTTTTGAAACGGTTTCAACTTTGCGCCGCTGCCATCCGCTCCAAACGCTCCCTGCTGTTGCTGCTGCGACTGCGACCGCAATGCACGATTCTCCTTGTTGGTCACAGACGCCATGAGCGAGGTCTTGAGTGAAATTTTCTTTGTAGGGGGTGGAAGTTTCGGCAAGTTGGAAGAGGGATTCAAATGGAGCAACAAAAACGGTGGAAAAGCGGGGGAAAAAAAAAAGAAAAAAAAAAAGACTAAGAATACAGCTGATTTATTGCTCGCCGATTGTCTGACAAATTCACGACTGCATGGAAGAATCGTCATCAGCCTCATCCTGGCCGAAAAGACCATAGTCGTTGATGGCGAGGGAGCGGAGGGCGAGTTTGAAGAGCGGCAGTTGCATGCGCTCGCCGAGAAACTGGTCAGTGTCGGTCGAGTGCGGCATGCTGCTGCTGGTTTGGCTGATAAATACAGGATCGTTGAAGGTTACAACAATGTCAGTGGTAAACGCTGGCAGGCGCACGAGCAGCAGGTAGATCATGACGGCATTTCGTGCTGCATCTCCGTCCTTGTCCTCCTCCTTGTACTTGGCGACAGCTTGCTGACCGCACAGCAGCCACTTTTCGAGCAAGGGGCTGTTTAGAGCGAAATTCAGCAACAACAACAACAACAACCCCCCCCCCTCATTGAGCACCACGACACACGAACAAAAATTCCAACTACATGCAGCAACATGGCGAAAAGTCGTACTCGAGTCCAGGAATATCGTCGGGTGCGAGAGCGACAATCTCGGTGACGGTGCTCTTGTCGACAGCGTTATTGCACTCGGCAATTTCATTGAAGTGAAATCTGACGAGAGTACAATCGAAGGTGAAACAAAAGTGAGTGGTTCCAATCCCGCCCCAACTACAGCACAAACACAACAACAATCCTCATCATCATCATCATCATCATCATCATCCTCATGGTTCATGATGATGATGATTCGGCTGTTACCGTGCAGCGTCGGCGCCTTGCACGTGCGACTGGTACTGCAGAAGGTCGACCATGAAGCTCTGGTCGTTCGCCTGGTTGACAAACACCTCCTGGTGGTCTGGGATTTGCCGCATGCCACTAGCACACAAGGGCGATCGCACATACATACACACATCAAAGAACGCAGTAAGCGTGAGGAGGGTTGCTGGCGTTCAGCATTCAGAAGCCTCGGTCATCAAACTCTCACCTCACGTCGGCAAACTTGTCGGGCAGGCTGATCGTCATTGCACCGCCGTACAGCTGGCGTGGTGTCAGCAAAGCATCAACGTTTGGCATGGTATTGAAGAAAAAAATAGGGAGACGGCGACGGGGATGACTTTTTTGCCAACTGTGGACAAGAAAAACAAGGACTGAACTCAAATCGAGACAAACGACAAAATGGATTTGAATGGAAATCCAAGTGAAACGAGATGGATTTGCTGCAGCAGCATGGATTCCCATGGAGTGGAATGGATCAGCCCTCACGTCATTACTACTCGTACACCACCGACGTCGAGGAAGCGACACAGCAAAGAAAAATTGGCAATGTGTGCAACGGATTAGATTGAGAACAGAAAAAAAAAACAACAAAACTACTGAGGCAGAATGGAAACCAGGCTGCACCGATGCAACAACCCCGCGGAGAGCAGAGAGAGATAGAGAGAAGGATTCGTGGTGCTCGCTCCTTTTAGTTCAGATGTTGCCGAGAGCGCTTTACTGGTGGCTCGTCGGGCTCTCGCTGCGCGTCAAACGCAACCTTGTCTCGTCGCCCGCCTTCGTTGATGCCGCCACCTCTGCATGGATGCAAACAGGAAACAAAAAAGCAAGCAGAAATGAGAAGCAAAAAAACCACAAGTCAACCCCCGTTCTACCAGCCTGTGTTTCCCATTCACTTACGCAGCCCCCGCATGCAGGGTTCCACGCCCGCCAATCTTGTCAATGGCGCTGCGTCCTCCCTTCTTTGCGTCGGAGAGGAACTTGTTGAGGCCCGAGAAGAGGTCGTCGTCGTTGGGTGCATGATCGCCTTGCGCGTCGACAGCAGCGTCGGCCGCGTCCAACGCGCTGCGGTCACGGCGGGACGTGCTTTGCGGCTGGATGCCAGTGGTCTCGCCACGGGCAAACTGGACAGGCCCATCGCGTCGGCCCGCACCGCCGCGTTCGCCGCTGCTATACTCCTTGTCGGAATGGAATCGGTCAGTGTTTTTCTTGATCAGAGCATCCACGTCTGCATCGCCATAAATCTCCTCGTCGACGCCCTTCTTTGGCCGGTAAACGCTGTTGCCAGCCTGGGCAAAGAGTGGCTTGTCGTAAATCTGAGTGCCATCCTCGTCACCGAGGTTGGGTGCCGAGCCTGCCTGGCTGAGCAGCCGCGTGTCGTACAGCGACTCTTCCGTCGCGCCGCGGTTGACGGCCGGCATGCCCAATGCAATCTGCTCGCTGACGTCGCGCTCGCGCTCTCGTCCAGTCTTGGTCTTGCTCTGGCGGGCCTCGCGGTCTCGCTCGCGCTTCATCTCGGCACGCAGAGCGTCGCGCTCGCGGGCAGATCGCGCATCTTCGCGTGAAGTGCTGTCCTCGTCATCGTCACGGCCGCCTCGGTAGTCTCCCGACGAGCGTGCGGGCGCACTAGAACGCTCCGCAGGCCGACGGGGCGCTTCCTTCTCCTCCTCTTCGTCGTCGTCGGAAGAGTTGGCGTAGTTGGCAATCGACGCTGCTGCGGCGGATGTTGCAGCAGCGCCGGCGGGAATGCCAGACCGCTGCTGGCGGCTCTCCATGGCCATGCGTCTCAAGGTGTCCTCGTGCGCCTCCTTCTCCTTTTGCGCAACGCGCTTTTGAATTTCATTGCGGAGCGCGACGCCCTCGCGAGCCTTCTTGTCTGCAATGTAGAGCGCCTCCGTCACCTTGGCAAAGTTGTCGCTGATGGAGTGCTCGGCCAGACCACGACCATCGGCAGCGAGACGCTTGTCGAGGGGGATGGTGTAGCCGTTCGGGTTTTTCCAGTTCGAGACGACTGGCGGGATTTTCCAGTCGGACGCTTCTTGCGCAGTGATTTTCCGTGGCGGCGAGTGCATGACCGGTGGCGGCGGTGACGGAGGGCCGCGAATGGCCTTCTTGTTGGTCAGGAACTTGCCCGGTTCGAGCGGGTCCTTGGGCGCTTCGACCATGCGAATGATGCGTTGCGACGCGCCAGAGTTGAACGAGTCGCCCTGGTTGGCCGGTGTGTATCGCACAAAGGTCGACTCGGCAGCCTTCTGTGCGTGCTGAATGGTGGTGGATGCGGCAATCTTGGTGTTTGCGATGCGTTCGAGCGCGTCGCGAGTGGCCGCTGTGGTGGCTTCGATCGCCGCCTCGCTCGGCATGGCGGGACGAATCGTCAGGTCTTTGGTCAGCATCGAGTCCATCTTGGCGTGCACAATCTGCCGGTCGTTCGCACCAAGCACAGCCTCGTACTGGACGCGTCCCGACGCATCGACCTTCATCTGCAGCGCGTTGGACGTCGTCGAGCGTGGCTTGCCCATGCCCTGCGGGTACTGCGCGACGGCCACCTCGGGGAAGGCACCGCCATCGCCAAAGTCCTCGGCCGTGCGTGGCACCCACCCCTTGCGCTGGCCATACCGCGGCGCACGCGATGGCTTGATGGAAATAGAACGACCGCTGGACGTTAGAATGGACGTGGTTGTCGTCGTCGTCGTCGATGAGGCACCCGCGCCACCAGCAGCTCGCGCACCCAGCGCCGCATAGTCGTCGTGGCCATCCTCGTCGTCGCTCATGTCAAGCGACGGGTCGAACGCGGTCGCATTGCTCGGGCGCGCCTTCGGTGCAGGCAGAAAGCTGTGATACAAGGACAGCAGCAGAAAGCAAAAGCCAAAAGCCAAAAGCCAAAAGCAAAAGCAAAAACGGCCCAATAGCCCCAAAGTAGAGGGAAGGGAACCACAATGGTTAGAAATGGCCACTTTACGAGTTGGGTTGGGTGTGATGGGAGGCGGGGATGGAAGGACGAGAGAGACGAGAAAGCGACACGAGCGGTTTTTGGTTTGGCTGGCGAAGCATTGCAGGACGCACTCTCTCGTCGCCGCTTTGCTCTCTTACGCGTGCAGCCGTACACTTGCAATATTGCATTCTGTTTCTGCTCAGTTGGTGTCGAGGGGGTTGGACGGAAGAGAGTGGAAAGGCGCACAAAGCCAATGCGACTGTCTCTCTCTCTCTTCGCTCTCTCGCTCTCATCGACAACGACATACAACGAGAGGGTCACTCATGAGGGAAAGATAGATAGATCGAGATTGGAGGAGGCGAGACAGGAGAGAGAGCGTCAAAAGCAAAGGGACGACAATGGGTTTCCAATGACAAACCTAGCAAGCGAAGCCATTCAGATAGTAAAAAGAAAGAGTAGATCTAGCGCGAGACACTGTGATATGAGTGATCTTTCAATAAAGCTGTTTTCGGCTCTCTTAAGGCTTTTGAAAAATGAATGAGAATTGAGTGGGAGAGAAAAGAGCTCAAAATCAATGGGTTTTTCGTGGCTTTTTGGTGCTTTCGGGGTGATGCAGCTGGCCCACTTGCGGGCTGGCATGGGTTTGGAGTGCATCACTTCATGTTGTGCTTAGAATTTTTGAACTCCATTTCGGGGGAGGGAGACCATTGTTCTTTTCATGTTGGCGCAATGACGACTCGACTTGCCGTCCTGTTGCTCCCTTCGCTCCCTTCGAGCGTCCCACTGGAACGCTACGGGGAGTTTGCCATCGCGACGATGCGTGTGTCTGACCCAATCACACCCAGCACGGTATTGAGCAATCTTCACCAAAGACACCAAGCGCTGAATCTATTTCTTGACTCGAGCTGTACGAGGCGATTTTCTCAGCCGACAAACAAGGCTGACTTGACAAAGGACAAGACAGGTCGCTTCGCTGTCTTGTTTGCGAGGAAAGCGTCGCTGCCTCCTGCCGAGTCCTACTTCTTCAATGAATTCGCTGAAATTCACACGGTGCTGAGTGCTGCAGGTCTACTTGGCGAGATCTCGCAGGCAGAGATGGAGGAAACCGAAAGCGATTTGCACCGTGCAATGTCGGGCACCCTTTTGCGCCCAGTCGAATCGTTGGAGCCCTGTTAGTGCCTCCGTCTCAACGAAATGGCTCAGGACTGCCGGTTTCCGGTTGAAATTTGTTATCGACAGGCACGAAATGGCATCAGGTTGGCACTCAAGCGAACGGCAATCGCACTTTGCCAGCGCAAAGTCTTCATTCATCAGGAATAGAGGGAAACCGCTCTATAGGTACGTCGCCTGAATCGGATCCTGCTGGTGTTGGATTGCTGGCGATCGCCGCATCAAAGCCCGCGATGAATCGATTTCTGAACGAGAGAGCATTTCGTGTAGATAGATTTTGCACTATTCGCCAAAATAGAACAAACACAACACACTCCGCTGTAGCAGCTATAGTTGCATTTCACACTTGACAGCCGAGACAATAAGCACGTTGGACGGTAGCCGCCCGATACTTGGCGCGAGGATGGTCAGCTCCTTCTTGTCCATGTTGACGGCAGCCACAAAAACAAATCCGAGAACGTTCGTGTCCACCAGCGACTGCAGGTTGGATGGCACCTGGGGCGAGGCCGACACACTCAGCACCGTGTAGAGCAAATCTGTGGATGGAGTCACAGTGATGACCTTCAATTCGTTGTTTGCCGGGGTTTCTCCGAGCGGCAGGCAAGACGCAGGTACCGGTGGAGCTAAAAAGCGAGTGCAGTGCGGTTGGTGAGCATCACGCAATCCAACAACCAAACGAACGGCAAGCAATCCAAAGGCAACTTTAGAACTTGCCGCATCCTCCACCACCGCCTTCACACTCTGCATCACCACCAATCGCAACAAAAACTACTCACCGCCAATGCGAACAAAAACAAAATCGTTAAGTTTGATGGTGGTCCGACTTGGGAAGAGATCGTTCTTGATGCCGTAAAAGTACTGCTTCACCCGCTCGTTGCGCGTCTTTCGACGGAATACTTGTGGACGACTCACGACACCGCCCGATTTGGGCAAGGAAACAACGGCAACTAGCACGCATATTGGTCAGCAACAACAAAACGGGGGTCAAGCGTCCCTGAAGAGAATTCAGGCACACAAACAACAATGCCAATTCGCCCGTAGAACAAACCTTGGTTATTCGTGCCAGACGAGTTGACGGCAGTCGCAATGTCGTGGTGCAGACGCTCGCTGTCAATGGTCAATACGACGTCGACCTGGAACAAGTCGATGGCGCTCATGATGAACTGAAAGCCCGGCCCTTCAATCCAGCCGCAAGTGTTGATGATAACGCCAGAATGGCGGGTGTGGGCATCGGACTGGCAGCGGCGGGTCACAGCTGTGGCGATTCGCCCCATGATGGACTTGTACAAGGAGTGATTATCTGGGCTGAGATGGCCAAAGTGGTACAAGAGCGGGATGTGGTTGGAGAAGCCTTCCTCGACGTCGACGGGCTTCTCCACCAGAGCCGTGGCCATCACGCCGGGCACCGAGATGCTCCCTTGGCCGACATCGAGGTCGACGTAGAGCGGGCGTCTCCCGCTGCGCGCCGCATAGCTCAGCAGAATCTTGCACAACGACGACTTGCCGACATCGCCAGCGCCCGCGATGAGCACGCGAGGGCCGCTCTGACTGCCCATCCGCTCTGCGGCAATGCGCAACTGCTCCAGTGCAGCGTGTGTGTTGACGTAGGAGGTCATCGGCGTCTCCTTGCTCACGTACGCGACTTCTGTCGGACCAGCGATCTGGACTGTCGCTCCGTGCCATGAGAACACTGCCAGCTTGGCGCCGCTGAACGTGTATGCGCGGTCGACTGCGAGCTCTGTTCCGAATATTTCCGCGGTGCCACTCAAGACCTGCAGTGAAAGCGCGGCGGAGCGTGAGTTTGGCTGCTTCTGGTTCTGCTGCAGCAAAACGATCATCGAAGGATGAGATGGCTCTTCCTGGCTTACAGTGATGGTGGCGCGCTTCTCGTTGTCAATTTCGACGCGCAGTTCGTGCTGTGCGTTCAGAGTGAACGAGCGCGGCGGCGTGGTGTCGGCTCCGAGCACTGGTGGATCTGCCTCCATCGCTCTGATATCTCAGTCGAGAAGAACAAAGGAGAACTGTTTCTATGCTCGCTCGCTTGCTCTTTCTAGACACGACACACTGTGATCTTTGAGTAAAGCTGTTTGCAACTCTCTTAACGCTTTGAAGATGAATGAGAATTGAGTGGGAGAGAAAGGGCTCAAAATCACACACGAAATCACAATGGGTCAAACAAGCTTCAAACAATTGCTCAGTGATTACACTATTCTTATTCTATCATGCATGTTTGTGTTGTTGCAATGCAGTCTTCCATTTCAATCCACATTTGCCAGTCATGTCGCTCGCAATGGACACTACGCCCGCGGCTGCAGCGCCGTCGCTCAAGAGCAAGCGCCCAGCCGCCAAGTCCGCCGCGTCGTCCGAGCCCGCTGCCGCCGCCGCCGTCGCCGAGGCCGGCATTCGACAGTACTTTACCAGCAAGATCCAGGAGCTGCAGCTCACCGTGCAGACCAAGACGCAAAACCTGCGTCGTCTTCAAGCGCAGCGCAACGAGCTCAACTCCAAAGGTACAGCAAACGACTCACAAGCAGAGCCAGGCGACGAGCGTTGTTGTCTGATGCTCGTCATGAGCAAAGTCAATGACCATCCACGCCCCTGTAGGGGGATCTCTGGTGCTGCCAGACAGAGACAGACAGACAGAGAGACAGAGAGAGAGAGATCTCGTCAGCAATTTTTTTTCTTTCTCGCCTGTGTCGTTGTGCTGCTGGACTGTCGCTCGTGCTTTGCGTTTGAGGGTCGTCCGGCTGCTGGTCGCGTTCTCGTACAGCACTGTGCGAGACATTGTCACAGCGCGATGCGGAAGTGAGAAAATCCGACTTTGCTTTTGTCAAAGTGCAGAATTTCGAGAATCTCGAACTTTTTTTTTTTTTTTTTTTTTTTTTTTGGTTTTGGTTTTTGGGTTTCAATCAGAAACAGCGTTGTTGTTGCTCGTCTTGACCTGTTGGAATGAGTCAACATACTGCTTCTGGTCAGGGTGGTGGTGGTGGTTGTTGTGGTTAGGTGGTTGTGGTTGAGCGTTGTTTGTACCGTTGCCTCACTCGTTGCTGCTGGAACAGTGCGATTGCTGCGAGAAGAGCTGCAGTTGCTGCTCGAGCCTGGGTCATATGTCGGCGAGGTTGTCAAAATCATGGGCAAGACCAAAGTGCTCGTCAAGGTGTGTAACTTGATGGGATGATAAGCTTTTTTGCCGCGTTTGTTCGCCTCACCCCACTTGCTCGTCGTCTGTGTCGATGTAGGTGCATCCCGACGGCAAGTACGTCGTCGACCTCGACAAGGGTGTGGAAATGTCACAGCTCACGCCAAACTTGCGAGTCGCACTGCGTAACGACACGTAAGAAACAATTTGTCATTTGGCATTCTTGGTTGTTTGCTCCCAGCAACTGCTCTCGTCGTCAAATGAACGCAATCTTCTGCTGTTTGGCTCACTCTCAATTTTTTTGACCCTATTTCTTCTTCTTCTTCTCCTTCTTCTGCTTGGACAGATACGCCATTCACAAGATCCTGCCCAATAAGATCGACCCACTGGTCTCACTAATGATGGTCGAAAAGGTGCCCGACTCGACCTATGAGATGGTGGGCGGCTTGGACAAGCAGATCAAGGAGATTAAGGAAGTCATCGAGCTGCCCTTCAAGCATCCCGAGCTGTTTGACTCGCTCGGCATCGACCAGCCCAAAGGCGTGTTGCTGTACGGTCCTCCTGGCACCGGCAAGACCTTGCTTGCTCGCGCTGTGGCACACCACACTGATTGCACGTTTATTCGCGTTTCGGGCTCGGAGCTCGTGCAAAAGTACATTGGCGAGGGCTCACGAATGGTCCGCGAGCTCTTCGTGATGGCTCGCGAGCACGCCCCCTCCATCATTTTCATGGATGAGATCGACTCTATCGGCTCAACGCGCTCCGAGGGCGGCAGCGGCAGTGGCGACTCTGAGGTGCAGCGCACCATGCTCGAGCTGCTCAACCAGCTCGACGGTTTTGAGGCCACAAAGAACATCAAGGTCATCATGGCCACCAATCGCATTGACATTCTTGACTCTGCGCTTTTGCGACCAGGGCGCATCGACCGCAAGATTGAGTTCCCGGCGCCCAGCGAGCTTGCCCGTACGGACATTTTGAAAATCCACAGCCGCAAGATGAACTTGACCCGCGGCATTGACCTCCGAAAGATTGCCGAGCTCATGCCCGGTGCCTCTGGCGCCGAAGTCAAGGGTGTTTGCACAGAAGCAGGCATGTACGCCTTGCGCGAACGCCGCGTTCACGTCACCCAAGAGGATTTCGAGATGGCCGTTTCGAAGGTCATGCAAAAGGACTCTGAGCGCAACATGTCACTCAAGAAGTTGTTCAAGTGAACAACACGAAAAGACAGAGTCCCATGCATTTTGTTCCTGCTTGTTATTTCGTGTGTGTTGGCTTCCTCGCTCCTCTCTCTCTCTCTCTCTCTCTCCTCCCTCTGCTCCCCCCACTTTCCTTTCTGCTTGTTTGTTTTTTGTTCACGTTTGTTTCTTTGTGAATTACAGTTTGAACTCTAAAGTCCAGCTTGTTGAGTGTGTGTTGGAATATTTACTTTCGGCTATTGTCGGTTACTTTCGGGTACTTTTCGTGACTCCCAATTTGAGCATTGACACCCGCTCGCCAGTCCAGCTTCCGAAACCGCACAAAATGAACGGACGCACGCTTGTGGCGCTGGTGGCTGCCGCCGTGGGTCTTGTGGCGCTCGCGATTGGATCTCACCTAGCTTCTCGCCCGGGTGGCCACCTCCCTGGCGCTGTGGTCGCCGAGGGCTTGCTGCGACTGACGCTGGCGGCGGACCCGATTTTCGTGTCGTTCTTTGGAGTCCGGTTCGAGGCCGCCCTGACGCCGCTGCTCTGGCCGCTCTACCGCTGGGCTGCCCAGTACGCCTACCCCGATGTGGACATTTACGAACACGGCCTGGGCGCGACGGCCTCTGACGGGCACAGCATCCCGATTCTCCGGTTTCAACGCAAAGACGTGGGACGTTTGGATGATCACCAGCTCAGTCCTGCTATTGTAGGTCGATCCCCGTTGTTCCTTCGTTTTTATTCAACGATGAAGTTGGTTGGTCTGTCCCCCCGCTGAATGGACGAGAGCCGACGGTGGCGGGAGTGAGGATTGGAGACATTTCTGAAATTGAGCTTACAGTCCTGATTCGCGCCCAGATTTATCTCCATGGTGGCGGCTTTGTCCTTGGATCACCGAAATTGTTCGCGGAACTGTTGGCCCAGCTTGCGCACGACTCTGGGTTTGTCGTTTTCGGCGTGGATTACCGCTTGGCGCCGGGCGCAAAGTTCCCGGTGCCCACGACCGACGGACTTGCCGCTGTCACACACATTGCACTCCATGCCCATTCCCTGGGAGTGGATGAGACGCGAATTGCCGTGATGGGGGATAGCGCGGGCGGCCTGATGACTGCGTCGTTGGCGATTCACTTTCGCGACTTTCCGCTCCAGCTGCAGCCCGACGGCCAGCCTGCGCGCCTCTTCCGCATGTGGCAGCAAGTGTTGATCAACCCGCCGACAAGCTCACTCGCAGGTCTGGAGCCGACAGAGTCCAAGACCCGCCTCCACAACGCCATGGTTATTCCGGACGTTGTGCTGGAGCAGTTCTTCTCGACCTACTTGGCCTCAATTACATGTCGGTTACCGCGAGCAGCAACGCCATGTGTGGATGTGAATGAGACTGAGAGCTGGCTCTCTCGGCATCTCTACCTGCTGGCTCCTGGAGAGCTCGCCGACCGCAACGCGCCCAGCGACTCGCCCTCCAGCGTGCAAGCCAAACTGCACTCGCTGCCTCCCGCGTTCGTCCTCGTCGCCGAGTACGACCCTCTGCGTGACGAAGGACTGGACTATGCGCGTCAGCTTGCCCTGGCAGGCTCGGCCGTCACCCTTGTGGACGCTGAAGGACTGTCGCATTCGTTTGTCATGACCCCGCAGTGGTTTGGCGCCCGCGGTGTTCAGTTTGTGCGCGACATTAGCGCGTATCTTACCAGTCAATTGTAAATAGATTTTCTACCAGCCAAGCCCGTGCGTTTAGATCATTTAAAGAGTTTGTCCCAAAAACGAAAATGTGCCCTTTTTTTTTTGAGGGGGTGTTTTGTTTTTTTGTTGTTGTTGTTGTGTCGCATGACCTGTAGGTGGAGTGAGACCACGTCAACCAACAGCGACCAATGAAATCAAGGCAGACTGCGATGAGAAACGAACGGGGGGGAGGGTTGGCGTCGCTGCGGATGCAGTACCAAAAGCAGGTAGCGAAGGTGGAGGTCGCTCTCCTGTTCCCTCCGCTCACCCGTTCGCCTCCGTTTCAACTCGATAATACTTGTACTGTATTCTCAATCACTCTGGCCCACGTTCGGGATTGACGAAGTAATCCCACCTCTCAAAAGACAACCCCCTGTTTCAGATGCAGTTTTTTGTGGCTAGTCTTTTTTTTTTTTTCTATTTTTTTTTTCTATTTTTTTTTTTTTTTTTTTTTTTTGCGGCTCCAGTGCATCGCCTCTTTTGTTTTTGGTTGTTGTCGCGCGCGTGGCTCTCCAACACCCTGCGCTGTTTATTTGCTTACTACTCGTAAGTTCCGTCATCCAAAGTGGCCGCCCATGATCTCCATGTCGTGCTTCCCGTTTTCACATTCAGCCTTCCCTTTTTTGCACCGTTAAAGCATGCCTCTTTTCGCATTGCGTGCCCCTCTCTCTTCTGCTCGTCTCTGCCCATCCCATCCTGGCAGCCTGCTCTGTTGCACCGAACAACCCGAGTGTTGCTTCTTTGCTTCCGCGCATTTGATTTTGTTCGAGTGGTGGCGCACACGGAGAGCGAGTGAGTCACCGCAAGACACGAAAGTGAAAATGGTGGCTTTGATCTACCAACACAAACCCCCTGCCCTTCCCTTTGCCACTTCGCCCCCAACTCTTGCCTCCCCTTCGCTTGCCATTCTAAAATCAACACAAAAATCCCATCTCGAATTTGTACGTCGTCCAGCACAAACGCCCCCCAGCGATGGCACTCTTCGCAGCACTCATAGTGGGACCCTTTTTTTATTCATGAACTTGGCAACACCAACAACAACAACAACAACAACAACAACAACAACAACAACAACAACAACAACAACAACAACAACAACAACGAGGTTCTTTATTTTTTTATTTATTTTTTTTTTTGATTTTTCGAAAAAGCAACAAAACCGCTGCTCAGAAAGCAGGATTTGATAGACGGTTGGATTGGTGAGCTCCATGCAGCAATAATAGACAACTATGACCATGATAATTATGTACTGATGGTCTGGGTTTGTAAAGTCACAGGCTATCCACAAAAGCAACATGCGCAACACTTGGCGGTTTGCCGGCCCGCTGCTGTTGCTGCTGTTGCTGCTGGGCTTGACCCCGACTGCCACTCTCGCCCAGGAAACGTGCGACGAAGCCTGCACATGTTCGGCCAACATCGCAACTTGTTCGCAAATTCCGTCAAGTTTGCCCGTCATCATCGACTCTTTGTACGCGCTGAAATCGGTTCTTCTTGAAGCGATTGGTATTGAAGCGATTGATATTGACTGCCGCCGACTTGCGTACATAGGATTCTGGTCGCGATTTCCGGTGCTTTGGGTTCGGGAGACATGAATCATCTATCGACGCTTCCTTTGACATCCCTGTAAGCCTTGCCAGCCGTCTGAGCCCGTGTGTTGCGAAGTTGTGCGGAATGAGCACACTGACTTGTTGTGCATGTAGGCAATTGTCCAACACTGCTCTGACCACAATCGCAAGCGACGCCTTCTCCGATTTTTTCATTGAAACACTGTAAACCAAAAACACGGCACTACTGCTCGAATTTGCCGAATTTGCCGAATTTTGGACAACCGGCAACTGATCGCCATCGATATTATTTCTACAGGGTCATAACAAACAATCCGAATCTATTGACCTTCGAGTCTGGAGTCTTCAACGGTCTTTCGACCCTCACCACACTGTACATATATTCGGGGAGGGGGGGGGAGAAACGAACACGTCGCATGGCATGCATGTGGAGCCGCAGATTCTTCAGTCATCCTCATTCGCGATGGTTTGCTTGTATGTTTGTAGTACGATAAGCAATATTGGCGTGGGCCTGACCGACCTCAGCATGGTGGAGTTTTCAACAATCCCCAATCTTGAAACGCTGTAAGACAAGCATGCGTTGGAATTCGAACGCTCCACCAATGCTAGTTGGCGCTCGGTGTGGCTGACTGCCTGATGTGCGTGTTTTGGAAGGTTTGTGACAAACACCAGAATCACGCAAATGCCCTACAGTTTGCTGCAAGATCTTCCTCAGCTGAAAAGTTTGTACGTCCAAAAAGCTCCAAAGTGCAGGCCCCTTGTCCTTGCGCTTCTCACTGTGCATTTTGGGTCAGATCCTTCCGAGACAGCCCGATGGTCGCATTCCCGCCCGCACCGACCCCCGACAATCCATCGGCACTCGAACAAATGTAGGAAGCGTCGTGTACGTGCCTTCGCACGCTCATGTTGACTTTTCTCGCCAACCATATGCATGCATGATTGACTAGTGACATGTCCAACACGGCCATTACGAGCATCCCCGCCAATGTGTATCCTGCCAGTTCTGTACCGAATCTCCGCCAATTGTACAGTACCCACGGCTCACTGCATTGTGCTTGTGCTCTGGCAAGTTACTCGTCCTCTCATCTAGTTACTGCTTGATTCCCTCCCCGACTGCCAACCAGACTGGTTCAACACTGCGGGTTGCTGACCAGTATCTCGGCAGATGCCTTCCAGCTCCCATCGTCCATCAAGCTTTTGTACGAACCCCCCCCCTCCCCGATGTGGCCCGTTTTGCAAAAATGGTGTTTCTGGGTGCGCTCATTATCCATTTGGCAGAGAGGTGTCGTACAGCTCCCTCACCGCCGTTTCCGCTTCCGCGTTCTATGGATTGGCTGATCTGACAATTCTGTACGTGCTGGCGCGACCCGTTTGACATGATTCTGATCCAGAGCGCTCATCTTGGCATGCACCATTGTTTTGCAGGAGCTTGTTTCAAAACGAAATCACCAGCCTGGATGCGGCTGCGTTCTATGGCTTATCGCAACTGACTCACCTGTACGCTTCCCCTACGCATCCTACTCTCATGGAATGCTTTGTAATCGGGCGTATGCTAAATTTCGTCGCTTGTTGTGCTTGACGTGTCGAAACAGAAACCTTGGCAACAACGGCGACCTGACTAGCCTTCCGAACGGCCTGTTTTCCCCGTTGGTTGCGTTGAGAGAACTGTCAGTGTTCATTGCAGACTTCTCGCACACTAGTTGACTGCGAGAGAGATTGTCTGACGAAAAAACATTGCTCGGTCGGCCCTTTTTGTTTTGGCTGCAGGCACATTTATGGCGGCGGATCCCAGCCTGGAGGCGGATTGACAGTCATTCCTGACGGAGCATTTAATGCGCTGGGTGCACTCACAGTACTGTAAGCCCCCGCCCCCCGTCTTCTCTTCAAATTTGACCAGCCCGCACAAGCAAGCACACCAACTGACCGACTCCGGCATGTGACGTCGCAGGCAGCTGTATTCCAATTCTATTCTCGGCTTACCGGCTCACATTTTTGACTATGCAACAAATCTTCAAACCCTGTAAGATAGCACGCATGTTTTCGAGTCATTCCTCGTTCACCTCGCGCGAACGTTCAGACTGACTTGCTGCAACTTGCAGGCGGCTGGACCAAAATGATCTAGAGGCATTCCCCCAAGGATTCTTTGACTATGCAGTTAATCTTCGAAGCCTGTAAGCAAATCCGAGGCCTCTCGAGACCTGTTTTCCCATCTCGTGGAGATTGGGGAATTCGAACAGTCAGCATTTGTCCTCACTTTAATACCGGTTGGTTTTACAGGGACGTGAGCGGGAATGCCATCACGACGCTGTCCGCCGACGTTTTCAATCAACTTTCGTCCATGACCACCCTGAAACTCAACGGAAACAACCTCACAGAGCTGCCTCCGCAGATTTTCTCTGCCTTGACCAGTCTGACCACGCTGAACCTTCAGGGCAACCAATTTACCACCCTCCCACCTGGCCTGTTCATGGGACTGTCTGGGTCGTTAACCGTCAACCTCGACGATAACGATTTCAATGTCGGAGTAGACGGAGCTCCACCGAGTACCTACATTGACGGTGGTGGTAACGTTTACGGTATGTAGAGCAAGGAGCTTGTTTGATGGGACAAGTTTCCACTGTGTTTTCAGCGTGTGGCTGCATTCTGCGCGCCTTGTCTATCCTCTCACTCTGTCGTTTCCTCTGAATGCGTAGCGTGCCATACAAGTTGCTTCACGTGCTATGGCGAGGGCGATCAACGTTGTTGCTCTGCTGCATGCCTCTCGTGTTCAGATACGGAATGCTTTTCATGCAACGACGGTTACGATTGGCACACCTTGGACGTCGGTGGCTACTGCGTTTCCGGAGCTGCCATCAACGCAAGCGAGGCCACATCCGCGTCCATGATTTCTGCCACAGCGGCTTCTGAGGCATCGGCTTTGGCAACTTCGCTTGCTTCGATCGAGGCGTCGGTGATTGCGGCTTCGCTGGATGCGTTGAACGGCAAGGGCGGCGACTCGGATGTCCTTCCTATCGCGGTTGGTGCGGCGGTTGGTGGCGTCGCATTCATTGTTCTTATTCTTGTACTGGTGCTGGTTTTGCGTCGCCGCTCCTCTCGCTCGCGACAAAGCATTGCCCCGATCCTCCCCACTGCTGCAAAGAATACGCAGGATGCCAAATCCTCCAAGAACGACATTCCGTTGCGCAGCGTTTCCTCGGCGTACATCTACAGCAATGGCGATCCAATCTACTCGTCGGTTGGGCAAGATGGCGGCGTTTACTCGAATCCAGCGCAGGCCAAAGCACCCCAGCTCGACAACCAGTACGACAACCAGGCCCATGCGCCATCCCCGTACGCACACTACGACAACAGCAACCAAGGTGGGAACAAACCTTCTTCGACCACCACAACCGCTGCTGCCCCGACTTCCCAGACGAGCCCTGCCAATCAGTATGACACTTTGGAGGTGAATGTCATCGCCCCATTGGCTGCCAAGAGCCCGATCCCCGTAATTCCAACGGAAGAAGCCGAGGAGACTGCAGCTCCGGAGGCTGGTTCCGGGACGACGCTGCGCGTGTACGAGCATCCCGGACCTGCAGCAACGGCCTTGCGGAAGGGTCTCATTCTCGGCAGCACTCTCGGGTCTGGCGAGTTTGGCGTGGTCATGCGAGGCTCTCTTGCGGTGGAACTCGTGCCTCGAGATGCGCAGTATCTGATTCGCGATCGCACTCGCCAGCAGCTGGACGTTGCGGTCAAGCTGCTCAAGGACGGCGCTTCTGAAAAGGCGCGCAAAGAGTTTGTGGAGGAGGCCCGCATGGTCATGCAGTTCAACAGCCGCTTTGTTGTGCGCGCGATTGGCGCCGTCATGGAAAGCGATCCGTTCATGTGCATTCTGGAGCGCGTTCCGTTTGGAGATCTCCGTGATGTGCTGCAAAAGTCTGCACACGCCTCGATGCACTGGAGCCACGCAGAGTTTGCTCACACGCTGCAGCAAGTCGCGTCTGGCCTCGAGTATCTCGAGTCCATTCGATTCGTCCATCGCGATGTTGCCGCGCGAAACTGCTTGGTCGGCGCAGAGTTGACTGTTAAAATCTCCGATTTCGGGCTTTCGCGCGTGCTTGCCGAAGAGCAAGATTACTATCACATGGAAACGCGTGGCCGCCTTCCCGCCAAGGTGAGGCAATGAGGTTTCCGTATTGTTGTTTTTGTTGTTGTTTTAGTTTTAGTTTTTGTTTTGTGAGGGGCGGGTGTTGACCTTTTCCCGCGTTTTGTCGCGCTCCACTCACGATCACGCAAACTTGTCATGGATTGTAGTGGATGGCTCCAGAGTCGCTGTCCTTCCGCAAGTTTACCCACCAAAGCGACGTCTGGTCGTTCGCCGTTCTCGCTTGTAAGTTTTGGCAAAGCGGCCATAAATGTTTCGAGTTGCCGTGATGGTTGCGCTAGTGTGGTGTTTGAGTTTTCTCAATTGTGTTGGTGATAGGGGAGGCATACTCGTACGGCGCGTCGCCATTCAGCCAGCTTCAAGCTCGAGATGTGTTGGCGCACCTCGAGGCTGGGCAGCGTTTGGAACGACCCGCCGCGTGCCCCGAGGACATGTATCAACATCTTCTCCGCTGCTGGTCCATCACTCCTGCGGATCGCCCCAAGTTTACCGAGCTGAAGGGAATTTTTGCAGCTGGCGCCGCAGGCCATTCCATTCGTGATATTGGTGGGCTGCTCATGTAACAAAAACCACCAAGTTCAATGTGGTGCAGTGTGATTGGGATTGTTTGACTGGTTTGTGTGATTTGTATGAAAAAAAAAAAAGAGTTGAATGCAAGGCATCCTCTATCGAGTGCTTGTTGGATGCAAACAAAAAAAAAATGACACGGGAAATATGCAAAGCAAGCAGAGTGATATATTGTTGTTGGAATCGTTGCAGAAACGTAAACAGAAACACAAAGATGAGAGTTGAGAATAAGAACGCATAGAAAACCAAAAAAACACAATTCAGAAGTTGATAAACATTGACCCGATCAAAAAAAGGAAAAAAAAAATCGCGAAACAAGACTAAGTCAGCACTGAGATTGTTAGCTGGATGCCGCGGCAGTCTGCTCCGTCGCGGGAGACGGTTGGCCTTGCTGGGTTAGCGAAGGCTGCTGAAATGATTGATGCAAAATTACACGATGGGCATTGCTGCTGGGGTGGAGGAAATGCTCCCCGGAAGATTCTGACGAGGAGGGAGTGTAGGCAAACTGTTGGCCAGTCAGTCAAGTGGTCTCGAAACAACAGACAAAATGACGCATCAGTCTCATACCTGCTGTGCATGCGGAACAAAGAGCGACGGAGATAGGCTTGCAGATGAAACATTCACCACGCTGTTCGAGCCAGGCAGATTGAGCATGGTCGAGGAGGCTCCGGCAATGCCAAACAACTGCGGGTAAGCGGGCGTGGAAGGACCCGGGGACGTGATGCCGGGCACTGATCCAAAGTTTTGGAAGAAGGCATTTGGCTTGCCTGGCGATCCGGGCGAGGTGGGGTTGGTCAAACTGCCGCCGACAATGCCGGATGGGAGAATTGGACTCTGAAGGTCGTGGTAATCAAAGCTGGCAGGCAGTTGATGGGTGCCAGCATCCTGAATCAACTGTCCGTTCAACTTGATGCTGGTCGGTCCCGAAAACCCGGCCGCCGCATTGTCGATTGAAGAATACAAGAGACCAGAGCTACGTGGATCAAACGCGGTGGCAGGGTTTGCCAACGGCATCCCCGAGGACCCGTTCAAGTAGCTTGCATAGCTGCTCGAGCTGCCCGAGGCTTCGGCAGACGAGCCGTAGGCGGCCGGAGCAGGGAAACCCGACAAACTGGCGACTGCCAGCACATTCGGATCGTTGAGATCCAGCATTTGTTGCGCCTGCGGGCCTTGGGTGGTTCCTGCAACAGCAGAAGGTGCCCAGCCACCAGAAGACGCAAATGCGCTCTGCGCCTGCGCTGTGGCGGAGGATCCGACCACTCCACTGAGCGCCAGCATAGCCGCAAGATTAGGGCCGCCAGGTGTGCCAACGGAGCCAGATCGGGTGCGCTTCTGGGATGCCGAGTCGGCGTACCGACACTGAAGTGGCTCTGGGTGGCCAGCAATGGCGCCGCCATTAAACCGCTGGATGACAGCCTCGCATTGATCATGCTGTTCCATTCGCGCAAACCCTACGCCACGCGAAATGCCATTGCTCGGGTCTCGCAAAATGCGCGACGACACGACTTTACCGAAAGGTTGAAGCATGGATTCGAGGAACTGTGTGGAGTTGAGCGAGAAAAAGGGAAGCGGAAAACAAAAGTGAGTCACCGGCCATCTGAAGCATGGAGAGGGAGAAAAAAGGGGGGGAGGAGAGAGACAGAGAGAGAAAGCAGTGCAGACTTACGGATTCGTCAATTGTACGAGGCAGGTTGGAAAAGTACAGATTGGTCGGATCACTCTCTTGGCTTTTGAGCTTTTCGTTGTATTGCTCCTGCAAGATGAGTGGGAGAAGGAATGGTGAGTCGATTCATTCAATTGTTGCTCTGAATCATTGCTGTGGCAATCCCTCCATACCTTTGCAAAGGACACCTGCATGCCCTTGGCCTTGAGGGTATTCAATGCAGCCGACGCCGCCTCGGCTTGGTCAAACATGACAAATCCGTAGCCCTTGCATTGGTTGGTCGTTCGGTCAATGATGGCTTTGGCAGACAAGATTGAGCCAAATACAGAACACATGCTCGTGATATCGGCATCGGTCGTCGCAGTCGAGAGGCCGCGAATGTAAATGTTGGTTTTGCTCAGCTCCTCGCGCATGCCCGGTCCGGTAATACCGGCAAACTGAGCAGCAGCGGCTGCAATGGCCGCGGGATTTCCCGGAAAAACGGTCTGCAGCTGGTGCTGATAATTTTGGAAGTGCTGAAGCTGCGCTAGTCGTTGCTGTTGCTGCTGCAACTGCTGCTGTGACGGAGACTGTTGTTGTTGCTGTTGTTGCGCCTGCTGTTGCTGCTGCTGCTGTTGTTGTTGTTGTTGCTGCTGCTGCTGCTGCTGCTGCTGCTGCTGCTGTTGAGCCAGCACAGCAGCTGGAAGATTGCTGTTGCTGCTCGAAGCACCAAAATTCGCTGCTTGAAGTGAAATATTTGACCCTGCCGTGCTCGTGATGAGCGACGTCCTCTTGCTGCCTGATGCAGAGCTACCAGTGCTGCCGTTCGTCGCATTCAAGGACTGGGTGGGCAAGAGCATGGACGATGAGGACGATGGGGACAAATTAGACCCCGACAGTGAGCCACCGAGCCCAGTCTCCGAGAGCGATCCAGGCAAGCTGGTTGACAAACCGGCATGCAACAAGTTTGCATTTGGATCCGAAAACAGCATCGCGTTCGCCTGGCCCGCGCTGGCATACATGCTGGCTGGTCTTGAGCTGGCGTGTGCGTTTTGCAAGTTCAATGAATGCTGCAGCTGCTGCAATTGCATCTGTTGTTGCAGCTGGTGGTGTTGCTGTTGCTGCTGCTGATGAAGTTGTTGCAGAGCTTGCTGCACTTGGGCTTGCACCTGAGCGTGTTGGTGCATTTGTTGTTGATGTTGCTGTTGCTGTTGTTGCTGTTGTTGCTGCTGCTGCTGTTGTTGTTGCTGTTGTTGTTGTAACAATCCACTAGCTAAAAGACCACCAGAATGCATCCGAGCTTGGGGATTCATAGCGTACAGAACGTTTGGCGCAGAAAACAGGTCGTTGGTGGCTGCGATTGACCGCCGAAA